ACAAAACTTAGGGTTAGCTATATGTACCCCAACCAACAACAATGCATCATCCATTTCTCATTTTGACAGTATGCACATATACACACTCACACACATACAGGCTCACACATATACAGACACACAACGCAAAGACATACAGCTACTGTAATAAGCATGCAAGCATAATGAATGAATTTCAGCCTTGTATAAATTATCACCATCCTGTCCCCCATTCCCCTCCCTCCCTCCCTCCCTCCCTAATTTCCCTCATCTCCCTTCTCCCCATCCATATTCTCCGCAAGAAACAAAGGCTGCAGCTTGAACTCCCTGCACAGGAAAGAAAAATCAGCGAATGCAACTCACTCCCTGCACAAACAATAACAAAATCAGAGAATACAACTTGCATTAGTTGCACAAGAAAACAAAATCAGAGAATGCAGCTTCCTTGATGCACTAAACAACAAAGTAAGTGCAACAGAAATTCACGCGCAAACTCTCGCGCTCTCTAACGCGCTCCGTCATGCGCAAACTCGCGCTCTCTCTCGCACGCACTCTCCCACGCGCTCTTTTGCACACACTCTTGCACACTCTATCTTGCACACTGTCACGCGCTTTCTCGCGCACTCTCTCGCGCACTCTCTCGCGCACTCTCTCGCGCACTCTCTCACACACTCTCACGCGCTCCCTCATGCGCTCTCTCACGCGCTCCCTCACGCGCCCCCTCACGTGCTCCCTGCAACGTGTTAGGCGCCAACGCGTATGGCGCCAGCGCGTTAGGTGACAGCGCGCATGGCGCCAGCGCGTTAGGCGCCAGCGCACACGGCACCAGCGCGTTAGGCGCCAACGCGCATGGCACCAGCGCGTTAGGCGCCAACGCGCATGCCGCCAGCGCGCATGGCGCCAGCGCGTTAGGCGCCAACGCTCACGGCGCCAGCGCGTTAGGCGCCAGCGCGCATGGCGCCAGCGCGTTAGGCGCCAACGCCCATAGCGCCAGCGCGTTAGGCGCCAGCGAACACGGCACCAGCGCGTTAGGCGCCAACGCCCATAGCGCCAGCGCGTTAGGCGCCAGCGCACACGGCACTAGCGCGTTAGGCGCCAACGCGCATGGCGCCAGCGCGTTAGGCGCCAACGCGCATGCCGCCAGCGCGCATGGCGCCAGCGCGTTAGGCGCCAACGCTCACGGCGCCAGCGCGTTAGGCGCCAGCGCGCATGGCGCCAGCGCGTTAGGCGCCAACGCCCATAGCGCCAGCGCGTTAGGCGCCAGCGCACACGGCACCAGCGCGTTAGGCGCCAACGCGCATGGCGCCAACGCTCACGGCGCCAGCGCGTTAGGCGGCAGTGCGTTAGGCGCCTATGCGATGCAGAAAGGCGCTAGCGCGCTGTCAGCACGGCGCCCACGTAGCAGCGCGCTGGCGGCTTGCACGCTAGGTGCCGGCGCGCTGCAGTAAGGCGCAAGCGCGTTGCCGCATCATGCGGCAGCGCGCTGACGCAGCAAGGCGCCGACACGCAAGCCACCAGCGCGCTGCTGCAGCAAGGCACCCGCGCGCAGCAAGGCGTCAGCACGCAAGCTGCGAGCGCGCTGTCACAGCAGGGGTTATATCACTAATGTACTCACGAACGTGCCGTTTATCACGGGGGCTTGTCACGGTCGCTTGTCACGGGCGTAAGGCGATTTCCTGGTGGCTAGTGCTTTCGAAGAGATGAGGTACAATCATGGCAAGAAAGTCTTCACCTGCTGGTCTTGTTTCTTGGGATGTGTTGGGGTTTGGTGCTGTTTGCACGTGTGGGCACATGAAATTCAAGTGACTCAGCTCTAGAATACAGGATGACGAAAGCAAGAACGGAGACCCTGTTCCCTAACAATTCTAGAATCACTTATTACAGTACAAGTAATACATTTTAACACAGGACACAAGTAATTGGCTTAAATCAGTAATTATAATAATTACAATTAGTATATTAATATGTGTATAATATAATCCTGCTAAAGGTCAAAAGTTTTATTTGTCATTAATCGTAACATACAGACCAAAATTCTTTATAAATGGGAACAAACAATTGTAGATGGAGGAATATGTCAGAATCCCAGTCACTAACCACTGGGATAAAAGGGCTTGTTTGTATAGCGGGTGAGTGCGCCCATAACCCCCCAGGCCGACATGCCTGTAACCCTTCCCTAGGATCATCGGGGATCTCCAGTGGACCTCTGACAGAATAACACATGAACATTAGTCACTACTTTAGCCGGTGTCATGTCTATATCGAGTATTAAGCACATACGCAACCCATACGACGTTGAACGTCGAGTCTTGTTTTACCTTGCAATCATTATACAATAATACTTTGTGTATCCTGGTTTCTATAAGCCACTATATTTAATTAGTTATATTCCTCCTTCTATATAACTATATATATATTATTTATATGTGTGTGTGTGTGTGTGTGCGCGCGCGCGCGTGTGTGTGTGTATGTGTGTGTGTGTGTGTGTGTGTATGTGTGTGTGTGTGTGTGTGTGGGCATGTTCAGATTGGGCGTTTGAGTGAGCATTAGGGTGTATCAGACGAGGAATTCCTGGTGCACAGCTCTGGGAGTGCTCTTTAGCGATAACAATATCGTGGGCAGCACACTGCGGATTGGGTTTTTTTTTACCAATCATGAAGCGACACTCGGGAACAAGTCAAACACGCGGCGTCCTGGAGGCCACTGAAGTGTTATCATTGGCCGTCGTTAGACAACCTTTCCAGGGTCCCCATTCGTCACTCTCCCGGTTTAGTCCAACACCTCACCTCAACTCGAAGCTGGGAACGAACCAAACCGAGCTGAAGTCAGTCCCCGAGCCCGATCACCAGACCGTGACAACTGGTTTGAAATGACAGTGTGGTGGCGGGAACAGTCATGAAGTTCCCGAAGTCCACCTTGAGTGGGAACGTGGGGGAGGCTGTCCCCTCCTTCGAACTTGTCTTGTCAGGTTTGGAGGTATGAGAACGAGCCTAGAGTTCAGGCTCGCCTCCCTTATCAAGCACGCTGGTTCACCTCACAGTTGCTGATGATGACTGATGGTTGATTGCTGTCGGGATTCTGAGTTCTAGAAACTTGCCACCGCCTGTAAGGTGATTTAGGAACCTTATGCTATGATCTAGGGATTAATGAAGGAGCTTAGCTCGCAAAAGCTTAGCGATCCGTCATTTTCGCAGAAGCGTAGAATTGCCGATTCGCAAATATTCATCGGCACGCATTCCATTCATGTGTGAGACCTTTGAACCGCAGATACCAAAATCAAGGTGGTCTAAATTCGTCGCTGCAAGTCCGCAACGTAGTTTGAGACGTTTCAGAATCCAAACGGTTTCGACGCTGTTACAATCGTCTGGGCAGATCCGATGCAAGAGGAAGCCCGATGAACCTGCTCTAGTCGGTCCGTTGCTGCAACATCCGCGTTATAGGGTTACCCTCAGTAACGGATTCAAACGGCTGTAGACCTCTTGTAAACCATGTAATGCGGCATTAGGCCTCGGTAAAGGATATTTGCCTCTGGAGGAGTGCTCAAGTAGTCTATACCAAGACAATTCTAACGGCTTCGGAAGGCCGAATTTAGCGGCGCTGGAAGATCGGACGGCTGGAGAAGGTTGATCTAAAGGCGGCGATCTGGCGTCAGCAGGCTCTGCAGGACGGGATGATGGGGAGAGGGTAACCAGAACGCAGGACGATGGAGGAGGGGTGACTAGAAGGCACGACGATGGCGGGAAGGGGGTAGCGAGAAGGCTGGTGGGAAAATGGATGGCCCAGTTGCCGGAGGAGCAGCGATCGAAGCTCTTCAGCGGCATGGCCGGCGCTGGCGCAGGTGAGATTTGTTGGTAACCAGAATGCAGGACGATGGTGGGAATGGGGAAACGAGGAGGCAGGCGACAATCTGGATGGGGGAATTGCCGGAAGAGCAGCGATTGAAGGCGTAGTGACATGGCCGGCGCTGGCGCAAGTGAGAAGGAACGAGGAAGAGAGACGGCGGGATGATGAAGAGAGGAGGGATGAGGAAGAAGGAGGAGGGCATGTGGTATGCAAGAGTAGTTGTCGGTCGTAGCTCTTCAGCGGCATGGCATGGCATGGTGAGGAGGAGGGATGTGAAGGAGGAAGAGGTGTGGTATGTCCTGACTTTTGAGTCGACTCAAAAGTGAGGAGGAGGGATGATGAAGGAGGAAGAGGTGTGGTATGTCCTGCCGGTAAAACGGTAGTCGCCACGTTTGTAGCGCCGTTGAACGCGATCAAGGCGTTTTCTCCCCAACCCCTCCTCCGATCGTCCCCTCCAACCCCTCTCTCTCCTCCCCTTTCCTTAGGAGCTGTAACGGCCACATTGAAGTGCCATTGGCCGGGGTCAGAAACATTCCTCCTTCATGCATTTCCCCCCTCCCTCCTCCCCACTTCCCCCCTCTCCCCCCCGCCCCTCTTCAGGAGCTGTAGCAGCCACGTTTGTAGCGCCGTTGGATATAGTCGAAACGTTCCCCCTTCATGCCTTTCCCCCCCCAACCCCACCTCCCTGCTCCACCTTCTCTCCCATTCCCCCACCCCCCCCACCTCCCTCCTCTTCAGGAGCTGTAGCCGCCACGTTTGTAGCGCCACTTGATGTGGTCAAAACCCGCCTGCAAGTGATGGGCGCACCACAGGCCTCCACGTCAGCAGCAGGGGGAGCAGCAGCAGCAGCGCCAATAGCAAGAGGGGGAGCAGCAGCATCATCTGCCTCCCCGCCGCCGTTCGCTAGGATAGCCACTGCAACTGCCGCATCTGTGCTCGCCACTCCCCCGTCCGCGTCCGCAGCTGCCGCGGCAGCAGAAGCAGCGCGGGGGGTGGGGGGTTCAGGAGGGCTGGGAGGATTCGCGGGATCAGGAGCAGAAGGGGGAAGGGGGAAAGCAGGCGCGGGGGGGAGAGCGGCAGCGGGGAGGCGGTGGCGCATGGGTGTGATAGCAGGGTCGCTGCAGACCATCTGGCGCACGGAGGGCCTGAGAGGGCTGTACAGGGGACTCTCCCCCACCATGGTGGCGCTGCTACCTAACTGGGCGGTGAGTGTATGGATGGGAATGGGAGAGAATGTTCGAAGGATGGGTTGGATAGGTGGCACATGGGCGTGATAGCGGGGTCGCTGCAGACCATCTGGCGCACAGAGGGCCTGAGAGGGCTGTACCGCGGGCTGTCTCCAACCATGGTGGCGCTGCTTCCCAACTGGGCGGTGAGTGAAGATCGAGAGGAGGTATGAGGCGGTGTGAGAGGGTGGTGTGCGGTGGAAGGCATGAATGTAGGGCCTGAGAGGGCTGTACCGCGGGCTGTCTCCAACCATGGTCGCTCTGCCTCCCAACTGGGCGGTAGGTACAGCCTGGAAGGTACAGGGTGGAATGAGGGGTGGTAGGTGGCGCATGGGTGTGATAGCAGGGTCGCTGCAGACCATCTGGCGCGCCGGAGGGGCTGAGAGGGCTCTACAGGGGGCTGTCCCCCACCATGGTGGTGGCTCTGCTGCCTAACTGGGCGATGAGTGAAGATCGAGAGGAGGCATGAGGCGGTGTGAGAGGGTGGTGTGCGGTGGAAGGTATGCACAGAGGGGCTGAGAGGGCTCTACAGGGGGCTCTCCCCCATTATGGGGGTTGTGCTGTCCAACTGGGCGGTAGTAATGGAAAAGAAGGGCAGAACAGAGAGAGTTCTGAGAATGTTCAAACGCGATATGCACTCTACTTTTTCCTGACGTCCTTTCGTTGCCCCCCCTCCCGCTCTCCCCTGTTTTAACCCTTCATTGTTTACACCAGGTCTACTTTTCAGTGTATGACCATTTAAAGCGGATGTTAAGCGAGGCCAGCCATCCAGGCGCAGGTGAGGTGTGGGAAACGATTGAAACGTATTTTAGTCATTGAAGCGGATTGTGATCCGACTTGCACGAGCCTTGAACTTGACTGCCACTAACGCGGATATTAAGCAAGCCAAGCCATTCGGGCGCAGGCGAGGTGCTAATGCCTATCAGTTGGGAGGGAGTGATTGAAACGAACTGTTGTGTGCCACTAAAACTGTGACTGAATTGGATGAGCCAAAAGCAGAAAACTTAAATCTGACTCCCCTGTCACCAACCCAGTTCCCAGCAGTCACGAAGAAGAGTTGACTTTTGAGTCGACTCAAAAGCCACTAAAACTGTGACTGAATTGGATGAGCCAAAGCTAGAAACTTAAATCTGACTCCCCTGTCACCAACCCAGTTCCCAGCAGTCACGAAGAAAAACCAGAGCCAGGTTCAGAGCAGCAGCAGCAGCAGCAGCAGCAGCTGTCGCTGGGTCGGAGTGTGCTGGCAGCAGCAGGGGCAGGCACGGCGACCGTCCTCGCCACCAACCCTCTGTGGGTCGTCAAGACGAGGCTGCAGGTGAGTCTTTTCAGTGTTAGACAGTAGGGAATCAACAAGCCTTGAGACGTCTCAAGCAGCAGGAGGGGCAGCAGCAGGAGCAGGCACGGTGACTGTCCTCGCCACTAACCCCCTGTGGGTCGTCAAGACGAGGCTGCAGCTATGTCGGTTTGGAGTTAGGTACGGGGAATAGTGACTCATCAAGCCTCAAGACGTCTGAAAGCAGCAGGAGCAGGCACAGCGACTGGATTAGCCACTAACCGTCTGTGGGTCGTCAAAACGAGGCTGCAGGTGAGTCATTTGGGAATTCGACCGAATCTCTTGCCTTTAGATGCCCAAAAGCAAGACGAGACTGCAGGTGAGCCCTGGTCTTTTTATCGTCTCAACCCATCTCATTGCTGATCTCCCTACCCGCCCAACCCCTCCCTCCCCTTTCTGCTCTCTCTCTAGCCTCTTTCCCCCTCTTCTCCTGTATTCCCCTCTTCAATCGCCCCCCTCCCCCCCACCTCTTCAACCACCAGTCCCAAGCCATGCTCACCAACAGACGGCCATGCAGGGGATTTTTCTAGCGTCGCTAAAAAAATCCGTAAACCCGACCTTTCTTCCCATATCCTCACCCCCTCTTCCCCCTCCCCTCCCCCGCCTTCCACCCTTTTCAATCACCACCAGACCCAAGCCATGCGAACCAACAGACGGCCCTACAGGGGAACATTTTCCGCCCTTGTGCGGATTACCAGAGAGGAGGGGTTGGGAGGATTGTACAGGTGAGACGATGGAGGGCGAAGGGGGGGAAGGGTGATGCATGGGGATGGGATGAGAGGTGAGGTGTTTTCAACCCTTGTGCGGATTACCAGAGAGGAGGGGTTGGGAGGGCTGTACAGGTGAGGGGAGGGACACAGAGAGGGGAGAGGGTGAGAGAGGGAGGGGGAAGGAGAGGAGCAGGAAGAGGGGCAGGGAGAAAGGAGGTAGACATGTTTTCCCCCTTGAACGCACTTGTGAAGACTAACTCTCCCTCGCTGCTCTGCTTGGTTGGTGCGTGTGAGCAGTGGGGTGGTGCCTGCATTATCAGGCATAAGTCACTGTCTTCGAGTCAATCCAACGCAACAGACAATAAAGTCTCTCAATGTCTCTCTTTGGTGGTGATTTTTGAGGCGCCTCATAAGTTACCTCTCTTTTCTTGTCTCTTTATGTGTGCCCTGTTGCTTGTTGGTTGTATGTGTGAGCAGTGGGGTGGTGCCGGCACTAGCAGGCATAAGCCACGTGGCCATTCAGTTCCCCATGTATGAGTATATCAAGCAACAGATGGCGTGCAGAGGTGAGCACATGTGTGTGTCTTGGCGTGATGGGGTGTGATGGGGTGTGATGGGGTGTGATGGGGTGTGATGGGGTGAGAGGCAGGCATAAGCTACGTGGCCATCCAGTTCCCCATGTTCGAGTATATCAAGCAGAAGATGGTGTGTAGAGGTGAGCAGATACGTATGTGTTTGCATGATGGTGTGTTGGGGTCAAAAGTAGGCATGACGGCATGGTGCACTAGCGCGTATGAGGCACGGTGCACTAGCGCGTATGAGGCATGGTGTGGTCATCCAGTTTCCCATGTATGAGTACATCAAGCAGCATATGGCGTGCAGAAGTGAGCTGTTATAGTGTGAGAGGTGTTCGCATGGTGTGGCACTGAAGCTGTGGCACACCGGCAGCAACAACATCTAGCGTGGTGCTAAGAAGAATTGCTAGCTCGTTCTCAGCAAATGGGGTGTCATTGCAGCATATGAGCTTTGAGGGTATGTCTTCACATGCATCTTCTGACAAGAAAAATACAGTGCCAAAACATAGTACCTAAAAGCTTATGATAGCATGTGGCCAGATGGACGGACAGCAGTTACATCCGATGGCTCACCAAGTGTATAGTTAGAGTAAACCATGCTGCCTTTTGTGAGGAGCTATTGTGACGATCAGGCTCTTACCGGAACGAAGAGGAAAAGAGCAGGTACAACATTTTTGAAAGGAATAAAAAACCGATCCAAAGTCATTATAAAACAAATGCATTCTCAAGATGTTCCCCTCCTCTCACGTCCTTCTCCCTCTCTCACTCTTGCACTATCAAGCCCCCCCTGCTAGCAGCAGCCTCAGTCATTTCCAGAGTTTTTGGCGGTCAACCACTGACACCAACACTGCCCCTCTTACTCCTCCCCTCACCTCACCTCTTTCTCCCTCCCTCTCACCCTCTCCCTCATTCCCCCCTCTCCCTCCCCTTTTCTACTCGTGTCTCACAGAAGGGTAACTACCCCTCTTACCCCCTCTTCTCACCGTCTTCTCCCTCTCCACCCCTCCCTCCCTCCCTCCCTCCCTCCCTCCCTCCCTCCCTCCCTCCCTCCCTCCCTCCCTCCCTCCCTCCCTCCCTCCCTCCCTCCCTCCCTCCCTCCCTCCCTCCCTCCCGCCCTCGCGCCCTGTCTCTACGCGCGTGCCACAGAGGGGTCAACAACCGACACTCTAACGGCCCCCCAGCTAGCAGCAGCCTCTGCCATCTCTAAAGTCTTTGCCTCGACTCTCACGTACCCGCATGAGGTAACCACCTCACTTAGGCCTTTTCTGTGCTACATACTGGGTAGTAAGGAAAGCTAAGGGCCCCCCAGCTAGCAGCAGCATCTGCCATCTCAAAAGTCTTTGCCTCGACGCTCACATACCCACATGAGGTAATTTCGTCCACACCCTCGTGGCAACCCCATGAGGCAAAGAGGCCGCATGCGTGCCAGGAATCAAAAGGCATGAGGCCTCTTCTCTTCGCCTCCTCTTGAGGCGCCTCAAACTTCGCCTCCTCAACACACATTGGTAAGGAAGCTTAAGGTCCCACAGCTAGCAGTATCCTCGGCCATTTCCGAAGTCTTTGTCCACACAGTGGTGCTGCGCTGCATCATACACACTCACGTACCCGATACCTGCAAGATAGCAAGCCCAACCAGCTGCAGTAAGCCCAACATGCTGTAGTAAGCCCAACATGCTGCAGTAAGCCCAACCAGCTGCAGTAAGCCCAACCAGCTGCAGTAAGCCCAACATGCTGCAGTAAGCCCAACATGCTGCAGTAAGCCCAACATGCTGCAGTAAGCCCAACATGCTGCAGTAAGCCCAACATGCTGTAGTAAGCACGTTCGGCCGACGCTCGCTCTCGCAACCATTAGACTCGCTCAAGTCTTGAGATGTCTCAAAAGCTTGCACATCCATTTGACTTGTCCCTAGACCCCTTTTCAGAGAGTCTAGGAGGCTTGAATTTGCTCCTTTTTCCTCCCCCCTCAGGTAGTGAGGGCACGCCTTCAAGAACAAAGGAAGGACTTAGGGCTTGCACACCACTACTATGGCGACTGAGTGGACTCAAAGGGTGTTTTTCCTCTTTTCTCCCCCACCCCCTCCCCACCTCATCTCTGGTAGTGAGGGCACGCCTTCAAGAACAAAGGAAGGACTTAGGGCTTGCACACCACTACTATGGCGACTGAGTGGACTCAAAAGGGTGTTTTTCCTCTTTTCTCCCCCACCCCCTCCCCACCTCATCTCTGGTAGTGAGGGCACGCCTTCAAGAACAAAGGAAGGACTTAGGGCTTGCACACCACTACTATGGCGACTGAGTGGACTCAAAAGGGTGTTTTTCCTCTTTTCTCCCCCACCCCCTCCCCACCTCATCTCTGGTAGTGAGGGCACGCCTTCAAGAACAAAGGAAGGACTTAGGGATTGCACACCGTTACTATGGCTACTCAGTCGACTTAAAGGGTTTTTTTCCTCTTTCCTCCCCCCTCCCTCCCCACCTCATCTCAGGTGGTGAGGGCTCGGCTTCAGGAGCAGGGGAAGGACTTGGGGAATGCACACCGTTACACTGGCGTGGGGGATTGTATAACGCGGGTGAGTATACCTTGCGTTTTAACAGCATGTAATTTTCGTTTCTGCTGGCTTTAATTCGTCTAAATATTTTTAGCTGCACCTTAATGGCGTCTCACATTCATCCTGTTTATCTCTTGCGTTCTTCTCTCCTCTTCGCCAAACGCCCCAACCACTCCTCCAAACCTACATCTTCCCCAACCTCTCCTCCAAACCTACATCTTCCCCAACCTCTCCTCCAAACCTACATATTCCTTGAATGTGCAGATATTGAATGAGGAGGGCATTCGGGGGTTCTATCGGGGCTGTGTGACCAACCTTTCTAGGAGGAGAGCATTGGGGGACTTTATTCGAGCAATTCGGTCTTCGTAACAGACGGATAACTCCCTCTTCTCGTGTCTATCCCCTTGTTCTTGCCAATCCACTTGCTGTTCAGATATTCAAGGAGGAGGGCATCCGGGGTTTCTATCGGGGCTGTGTGACAAACCTGTTCAGAACCACACCCGCTGCAGTCATCACCTTCACATCCTTTGAGCTGCTCATTCGAACCCTCCCCACCATCTTCCCCCCGGCATCCCTAACTGATGATGGTTGTGAAGATTTATGAGAGGCCTGACGCTGAGTCAACTCAAAGGTCACCTCTCCAGAACCTCTTTAGAACCACACCCGCTGTAGTCATCACCTTCACATCCTTTGAGCTGCTCATTCGGACCCTGCCCACCGTCTTCCCCCTGGCATCTGCGAGTGATGACGTTAGTGAGACATGATGACTCTTGTCTTGACTCTTGAGGAGACTCAAAGGTCATGGGGTTTAAGCTCCTTCACAAATCGGCAACCATATTCCCACCCATGCGCCACATTCCTGCCAATACTATGCTGGAAGTGGCGCCTTGTTAGTTATCATTGTCCTCATCAAGTTACTCTTTTTTATTAGTCATAGTTTGGCTTGCTCCGGTTTGTGTCGCCCCAGCGTTGGTAATCCGTAATTGAGGTTGGCCAATGCATGTCAACTGGTGAACACGGATGTATAACAGCAAAAGGCCAATTCGAAAGGCCAACCGTGTGCCTCAGAAGATCCGGTTTATTAATACTCCATTTTTCCAGATGCCCGTAGTTCTTGCACATAGATTTGTAGGTCCTGTGTGGGTGTCATACATGATAGAAAATGGGGATTTCTACCATTTTCGCTGTATTCCGAACCATTACTTTTTGCCTGTACGTTCATGCGAGTTGTGTGGTGACCAGCTAATCGTGGAGCGGCTGCTGCCGGTTCTGACAGCCAAATTCGCGTCTCGAGGCCCTCCACCGCTACTTCCGCAGCGCAACTTTGAAATTCAGGAGCGAGCCGCATGCAGCAGAGAGCTTCTGCCACAAATTTTCGTTTCTGTTTCAGGAGGGAGGGAAGGGAAGGGAACACAAAGATTGCGAGAAGTCTATCTTCGAAGCAACTGTTTGCGGTGTTGCCCTGAATGAGCCCGCGCCTGCTGCAGTCCGTGTGCGCATGGATGGTGCTGCCGGATGGATACCACATGAGTCCATGTGTCCATGGGTCATGTCGTGAGAGCCACAGCACCAGATGCAGCTGTGCCCACGCGTCGCCCCTCTCTCGCCATCTGGTGTTTCGCATCGCATGCTCCCAGGACCCAGCTCTGCTGTTTCAACCTGCGCTTCGCTTAGTAGCACCCTTACTAGAGCTACGCTCGAACCTTGTGCTTTCAATGAGCCATTATAAACTTCAGGAAGTCGCAAGGGTCGTCGCCGTAGAGATGAGTAGATAAAGCGGTGACTAGAGACAGACAGCATAAATAGGACGTCCTCAGGTTGTGAACGCGTCGCTACCGATCTAGATTTATTCTGCCGTGGGATCAACGACAAGCGGAGTTCTTGCACAAGCCGCCAGGGCCGTCGCAAATAGAAAAAGAAACAGTTGAAGCGGCCTTTCACAATCGCCATGGCTTGTCGTCTCGCGTCCAATCAACAACGCTTATCTTTCCACAAATCTCATCCTTCGCGCCGCGTTCTCTCCTTCCTCCTCGTCTTCCCCCTTGTCGCCGCAGCCTCCGCAGCTCTCTTTTCGCCCCCCGCATCTCCCGACGTCCGCTCCCGCCCCGTATCCCATTTGCGATTCGCAACAGACGCGTCCCAGGGGCCACCGCGTGCGGCGGCTTTCGAAGCGCAGGCTCAGTCGCGCCACGGAGACAAAAACGCGACGACCATTGATAACCCTGCAAGTCGAAACCCGATGCTATCTCCGTTTCACGTCTTTCGGGCTCCGTTCGCCGTATCCCTCATTGAAATCCCCGAGAAACGCGCTCCAGAAATCCTGGAACTTGAGCTGGTTTACACGTCAGATCATGCGGATTCTGACGCTGGAGAAAGCGCAACGCTGGAGGACGCAATAAAAGCAGACGCGCTATATCTAGAAGAAGCGGCGGTGAGGAGCAAGAAAGGTATGGTGCCTGCGGAGAGACAGGGGGAAGAGGGCAAGGGGGAGGGGGAGGGAGAGAAAGAGGGGGGCGGAGAAGGGAAGGCGGAAGGAGAGGGGGAGGAGGAGGAGGCGGAAGAGGTGCGCAGCGGGGAGATGCTCGTGTTATCTGACGAGCTTGCGACTCCGCTGCACGTGTATCGAGGCGCTGACGGTTCGTTGCAAGAGGAGCCCGAAATGAGCGACGACGACCTCATGGTGTTCGGAAGCCTAGATGCGCTGTACTACGAGGAAGTGGCTGTGCGGACACGTGCAGCACACGCGCAGCCACGTGCACCACTGGTTGGCCCACGTGCATCACACGCATGGGAAAGCATATTGATTCAAGGAGGAGCGTCAGAAAATCGGGACCAAGAAGTTGGTTTCTTCAGGTCGTTTCATGTTTTCCGGGCAGATAACGGCTCGCTGGTGGAGTTGACAGAACGCGACGCCGTTTTGACGTTGGCGGACGGAGTCCTTGCACCACTGACGGAAGTAAACGGGATTCCCTTGACGGAGCTTGACCGAATTTCGTCAGCAGAGCTCGTCCGCGTGCACCAGCAAGAGCTTCCAGTCCGTTTCCGTCCGTCAAATCCCTCCACTGCTCTGACGAAGATTAGACGGAGATTGAGATTGTCTCATGACAAACGGATTGAGATCGTCTACGAAAATACAGGAAGCCAGAGGGTACAAGAAGAGACAGGGGAGGGAGACGAAGAAGAGGAGGAGGAGCGAGAGCACGTGGGGCCTGTACACGTATTCTGGGAAGAAGATGGGACTCTAAACGAAGAGGAAGACGACAGCACTACTAACCGTTTAAATAAATACGATAATGAGATGGCGGGCTTGGAGAATATGGGCTGGAGAGAGGCAGCGGTCGATGCGGCGTTTGGCGCGGCGGATGATGCGGCGGCGGAAGCGGAGATGGAGTATGAGTTGGCATTCGCGGTGCGTACGAGGAGGGCTATGGTGATTGGCGGTGGAGAGGACTAGACCGTGCGAAACAACAGCAGAACAAAAACAGAAGTGTATCGGAGTAGCTTACGTATTGTAGCATAAAATGTATTGTAATTCTGTTACGTGGCACATGCATGAAGTAATCTACACCTTCAGATACTCAGAGAATTTAGATAAGGAATACTGCATAAAACGTGGCTAACATATTCTGTACTCATGCACAATACCTTTCCCACCTGTGCATAGCAGCTGTGATCAGATTTATTGATCAAGGAAAGGAAAATTTAGGGCATAGCTAGCTAAGTAGACAAAAGCAGCTACAGTTCTGCGACTAGCCAGAGTGTATCCTCTTATATGAGGATAAGTATCGTATAGTCTACACAGCGAATCTGTAATTCATCAGTGAACCAACGAATATCAGCATTGTTAGCAAATCAGGTAAGGTTGCCGTGCTGGCCGAACCAAGTCAGGGGCACGCACGCACACACACAATCGAGTGTGTGTCACCCACGCCACGAATCTGCAGTGCTCTGCATTCTCTACAAGCACTCTCCAAACAAGCACTCACATGAGCCTTATTCCAACTTCCATTATCCCTCCATTCATCCATCCCTCCATCCATTCATCCATTCCTCCATTCATCCACATATGCCCGTCACCAATTTCAATGGATGACTTTTTAAGGCAAAATGTTCTTTCGAGTTGGCACTCTATTGAAGCACTTCCGTCCAAGTCCTATAGGAGCCCTGAAGGCAAGGGGAGAGGGCAACGAAGTAACGGTTGCTTAACACCAGCGCAGGGAGGGCTTGAGGGAATTCAGCCTGTTACACCCATTCAAAACCTTTTGAAACTGATTCACACCTCTTCACACCCATCCATACTACTAATGCTGATCATATCTCCAAGCACTCGTACCTTTTAAAACTGATTCATACCTCTCAGCACCCACGCACACCTTTTGAAACAGATAGATACCTCCTCACACTCATCCGTACCTCTTGCTGCTCTTTGCTTTGCTCCAGGCTCCTGTCGGTCGAGCTTCGACCCCAACTCGAACGCCCTAATCGTCGACTATTTTCAAGGCGCCTAGGAAAGAGGCTCCTGTCCCTTTTCCTCCTCCTTGTCACACTCTTCCTGCAATTCAACTCCAAATACACTCCACCACCTTTTTCCTCCCTGCCATCAGCTATTGCTACTACCACAGCAAGGAACTTTCCTTCCTTGTCTTTTGCTGTTACTGCTGCTACGGCGGCTACAGCTGCTACTACTACACCTATGACTGCAAACTTTCTTCCCTCCCAATGCTGCCGCTGCTGCTGCTGCTGCTGCTGCTGCTGATGATGATGCTGCAGCTGATGATGCTGCTGCTGCTGCTGATGATGATGCTGCTGCTGCTGATGATGATGATGCTGCAGCACTATTTACAAGCTCGATTGCCCTACAGCTAGCTGCTGAATCCTTCCTTCATGTTGCAAAACATGCCTTAGCAGGGCTTGAATCAGCATGCACATTACCCAGCACAAGCTAACTCTCCTGCCACATGTTCACGAGCCCTTCTACGCTCGCTTTACCGCCCTCCACCCCTATCACTTGATTCCCTGATTCCCTTCCACTAATAACCCCCTGCGCTACACCAGGCCCTTCCCCATCTATATCCATCCACTCGCCACCATTCTTATTCCCATCCCCATCCCCATCCCCCTTCTCCTCATTCCCCCTCTCCCCATCACCCCTCGCCCCATCCCTCGGTTCCCCATCAACATACATTTTCTCAGGTTCCTCCTTGGACCTTTCTTCCATTTCCTCTGCTCCAACTACCGAGCCTGTCCCTGCTCCTACTCCTGAGCCAAGCTGCTTATTTTCTCCAGCTTCTGCCGCTGGTGCTGCCAGCGTCGTTAGTGCTGCCACACTTGTTGGTGCTGGTGTTGCCGCTGGTGCTGCTACTGGTGTTGCTACTGGTGTTGCCGCTGGTGTTGCTACTGGTGTTGCCGCTGGTGTTGCTACTGGTGTTGCCGCTGGTGTTGCCGCTGGTGCTGCTACTGGTGTTGCTACTGGTGTTGCCGCTGGTGTTGCTACTGGTGTTGCTGCTGGTTCTGCAGCTGGTGCTGCTGTTGGTGCTGTCGCTTCAGCTGCTGCTGCTGCTGTCGTTTCTGCCACCTGCTTCTCTTCCTCCCCTCCCTTCTCTTCCTCCCCTCCATTCTCCTCTACCTCTCCTCCCTTCGTCTCTCCCTCCCCTCCCTTCTTATCTTCCTTCTTCTCTACCTCTCCACTCTTCCTCTCTCCCTCCCCTCCCTTTTTCTCTCCGTCTCCGCTCTTCTTCACTCCCTCTGCTGCTGCTGCCACTGCAGGTAATGCTGTAGCAGTCACGGACACAGGTGCATCTGTAGCAGCAGGGACTGGGGAAGGTGCATCTGTAGCAGCAGCACTTGGGGAAGGTGCATCTGTAGCACCAGCACTTGGGGAAGGTGCAGCTGTCGCAGCAGGGACTGGGGAAGGTGCAGCTGTAGCAGCAGCAACAGTGGGAGGCGCAGTTGCAACAGGTACGGGCGTTACTGCCCCAGGTGTGACTCTAACAGGAGCAGATGTAGCAGCAGCAGGCCCAGCTGCAATCGTTACTGTACCAGGAGTGACTTCATCAGGAGCTGCTGCCCCACAAGGCACAGCAGCAGCAGTGGTTGAAGCTGTAGCAGCAGCAGCTGTAGCTTCAGTTGCGACTGGGGCAGTTGGCTCAGGAGGAGCTGGGGAGGCTGCAACTGGAGCGGGTACACTTGAAGAGGGTGCTACAGCCGGAGCAGGTGCGACTGGGGGAGGTGCAACTGCGGCTTGAAGGGTGACTGGGGCATGTGCGGCTGGCTCAACAATGAATTGTGGGGTCTTGGCTGGTGCTTTTGCTGCTGCTGCTGCTGCTGCTGCTGCTGCGGAATCTGCTGTTGCAGGTGCTGCTGCCTTTGCTGCTGGTGCTGCCTTTGCAGCTGCTTCGGCTGCAGCTGCTGGTAACAACGCCCCTTTAACAACTCCTCCCTCCACCACTTTGATCCGCACGTTTGCTCCACTGGGACAAGGAGGTGGTGTGATTGCTGCACTTGTCACTCTGGGTACATTTGCTGTTCCATCCAACGCCCTTTCTGCAACTCCTCCCTCCACCCCTTTGGACTGCACACTTGCCCCACCAAGAGTGGGTGGTGCTCCCTCCCCACCCTTCCGTTCCCCCTCCCCTCCCTTTTTCTCTCCTTCCACTTCCTTTTTCTCTCCCTCGCTTCCCCTTTTCTCTCCCTCCCCTCCCTTTTTCTCCTCATCCCCTCCCCCCCTCTTCCCCTCACCTCCATTCCTCTCCCCCTCCCCTCTCTCCCTCTCCCCCTCCCCGCCCTCCGCCTCTTTGGTCTGCACACCTGTTCCCCTGAGACTGGGTGTTGCTGTTGCTGGCGTATCAACAGATTGCTTTGCTGTGGCTGTGGGTGCGGTTGCCTGTGCTTCCAGCGCCCCTCCTACAACCCCTCCCTCCGCCCTTTTCGTCTGCACACCTGGTCCCCTGGGACTGGGTGTTGCTGGCGTATCAACAGATTGCTTTGCTGTGGCTGTGGGTGTCAAAACGGGTGTAACGGTGGGAGCTTTTGTGGCTGCGGGTGTCACTGTTAGTGTCACTGCGGGTGTCACCACGGGTGTATCTGTGGGCGTCACTGTGGCTGTGGGTGGCACTGTAGGTGTCAATGAAGGCGTCACTGTTGGTGTCACCATGGGTGTCACAGTGGCTACGGGTGTGACTGTGGGTGTGGTTGCAGTTGTGTTTGTGACTGTAACTGGTGTGACTTTGGGTGTGGCTGCATCAGTTCCTGCTACGGCTGCAACTGGGAGTGTCATCGCTGTTGCTAGTTCTGGTGCTGCTGCTGCTGCTGCTGCTGCTGTTGCTGGTGGTGCTGCAACTGTGGGTGCTACTGCTGCTCGCTCTGGCACTGCTGGTACCGCTGCTGGTAGTGCTGCCGCTGCTGATGGCACTGCTGCCGCTGCAACTGCTGGAAGTGCTGCTGCGGCTGCTGGCAGTCTTACTGCTGAAAGAGCTATCCTTTCTGGTGCTACTGCAGCAGCAGTCACTGTAGCAACAGCAGCAGGCTCTGGTGCTGCTGCTCCTGCAGCTGCTCCCACTGCTGCTGCTGCTTCTCCTGCTGTTGCTGTTGCTTTTTCCGCTGCTGCTCCTACTCCTCCTACTGACGCTGGTGATGCTGCTGCCGCCGCTGCAACACTTGTTGCTCCTGATGCTACAGCCGACTCTCCTTTAACAGCAGACGCACTCACAGCAGCAGGAGATGCCGCTGCCGCCGCCGCTGCAGCTGCTGCTACGACTGGTGCTCCTGCTGCGGTTGCTGCTGCTAGCGCTACAGCTGACTCTCCTTTAACAGCAGGCAGAGCAGCAGAAGCACCCACAGCAGGAGATGCAGCAACTGAAGCATTACCAGCAGGAGACACTGCGGACTGAGAGACAGGCGCTACAGTCGCCACAGCAGGTACAGCAGGTGTTACCGCAGGTGCTACAGCAGGTGTTACCGCAGGTGCTACAGCAGGTGTTACCGCAGGTGCTACAGCAGGCACTATAGTCGCGTCAGAAGGTACAGCAGGTGCTACAGGCACTACAGCAGGCGTTGCCACGGGTTCTGTAGCAGGCACAACCGCAACACGCGCTACAGCAGGTTCAGCAGGCACTACCACAGGTGGAATGGCAGCCGTTACAGCAGGTGCTACAGCAGGCATTACCGCGGGCGCTACAGCTGAAGGCGCTGACAGAGGCAAAGGTGCTACAGGCGCTACAGGTTCTACAGGTGCTACAGCTGCCACTGAAAGCGCTACAGGTGCTACAGACGTTGCAACAGGTGCTACAGACGTTGCAGCAGGTGCTTGAGGCCTTACAGCAGGCGCCGCAGGCACTACATTCGTTACAGCAGAGGCTACAGGTGCTACAGGCGCCACAGCAGGTGCTACAGGTGCTACAGCAGGTGCAGATGCTACAACAGCCACTGCAGGCGCTACAGCAGGTGCTGCAGGAGCTGCAGGTGCTACAGCAGCCGCTACAGACGTTGCAGCAGGCGCTTCAGATGCTACAGCAGCCCCTGCAGGCGATATGGCTGGCGCTACAGGTGCTACAGGCGCTACAGGTGTTACCGAAGCTACAGGCGCTACAACAGCTGCTACAGATGTTGCAGCAGGCACTGCAACCGGGGCGGTAGAGGGAGCAGTAGGAGGGGGAGCAGCAGTGGGGGGAATAGAGGTAGGGGGAGCAGCAGCGAGGGGAATAGAGGTCGGGGGAGCATCAGTGGGGGGAATAGAGGTCGGGGGAGCAGCAGCAGTTAGGGGAACGGGAGTAGGGGGAGGAGCAGTTGTGGGGACGGGGTTGAGGGGAACAGGAATGAGGGAAGCTGGAACTCGCGGAACAGGGGTGGGGCGAACGGAGGTGGAGGGAACGGGGATGAGGGGAACGGAGGTGGGGGGAACGGGGGTGGGGGGGAGAGGAACGGGGGGAACAGGGGTTGGGGGAACAGGAGTGCGTGGTCTCAGTGGGGGGGCTTGGGCAGGGAAGAGAGGAACAGCCAGAGGAGCCACTTTGGTGGTACATTCGTGAGCTGGAGACACAAGTACAGGAGCGGCCTTAGCAGTAGCTTCGAGAGCAGTGGGAACAAGCACAGGAGGAACCTTAGCAGCAGGCGCCTGCACAGCGAGAAAAGGCAAAGGATTTCCCTTAATAGCACACGTGAGTGGTGCTGGAGGCACAGGGGGGCCTTTATCAAGCTGCTGCTGCTGCTGCTGCTGCTGCTGAATGCATGTTGCAGTGTTACCCCCTGGCGCTGTAGTGGAAACGGGCTCCTTACTAGGTGGTACCTGCCCTGGAGGTACCTGTCCAGATACCACCTTCCCAACAACCCCCTGTGCCTGCCCCTGCCCCTGCGCCTCAAGTGGAACAGGCACTGGTACAGCAGGACTTGCCATTGGTGCAACTGCTGGTGGTGCTGCTGGTGGTGCTGCTGGTGGTGCTGGTGCTGGTGCTGGTGCTGCTGGTGGTGCTGCTGGTGGTGCTGGTGCTGGTGCTGGTGCTGCTGGTGCTGGTGCTGCTGGTGCTGCTGGTGGTGCTGGTGCTGGTGCTGGTGCTGCTGGTGCTGGTGCTGGTGCTGGTGCTGGTGCTGCTGGTGGTGCTGCTGGTGCTGGTGCTGCTGGTGGTGCTGCTGGTGGTGGTGCTGCTGGTGCTGCTGGTGGTGCTGGTGCTGGTGCTGCTGGTGCTGGTGCTGGTGCTGCTGGTGGTGCTGCTGGTGCTGCTGCTGCTGGTGGTGTTGGTGCCACAGACGCGGCTGCTGCTCCAACAGGTGCCACAACAGGTGATGCCGCTACAGGTGGCATCTGCCCCGGCTGCACCTGCCCTCCCTGCACCTGCCTGGGCTGGAGCTGTACCTGCCCTGGCTGTACCTGCCCCGGCTGTACCTGCCCCGGCTGCACCTGCCCCGGCTGTACCTGCCCCGGCTGTACCTGCCCCGGCTGTACCTGCCCCGGCTGTACCTGCCCTGGCTGTACCTGCCCTGGCTGTACCTGCCCCGCCTGCACCTGCCCTGGCTGTACCTGCCCCGCCTGCACCTGCCCTGGCTGTACCTGCCCCGCCTGCACCTGCCCTGGCTGTACCTGCCCCGCCTGTACCTGCCCTGGCTGTACCTGCCCCGCCTGCACCTGCCCTGGTGCCACTTGTCCTGCTTGCACCTGACCCGGCTGCACCTGAGCCAATGGTACTGGCCCTGGTGGCACCTGCCCTGGTTGTCCCTGTCCCGCCTGCACCTGCCCTGAAAACACCAGTCCTGCTTGCACTTGTCCTGGTAACATTTGCCCTGATACCACCTGCCCCGCCTTCAAACCAGGAGCAACAGCAGCAACAACCCCTATTACGTTCCCTGCCACTGCACCACTGCATGCCCCCAGAGCACCTGCCTGGCCTGCTGTCGCTACTACCTGTACCTGCTCCTTCTCCGTTCTCATTCTCTTTTGCGCTGGTTCCTGTCCCTCCCTCACCTGCTGCTGCTTCTCTACGGACTGCTGCTGCTGCTGCTGTTGCTGAGGGGGCTGCGGCAGCTGCTGCTGTAGGGACTGCTGAGGTTGTTGCTGCGGCTTTGGCAGAACCACTTTCTGTGGCGCCACAAGTGTTGGCCTTACCTGCTGCTGCTGCTGCTGTGGCAACCGGGGCAACAACATAGGTCTTTGTTGCATCCCAACGTGCTGCTGCAGCAGCTGCTGCCCCAGCTGCTGTTGCTGCGGCAGCTGCCGCCCCAGCTGCTGTTGCCGCGGCTGCTGCAGCGGCGGGGGCAGTGGCAGCGGTGGCGATGGTGATGGTGAGGCACCAGCCACACGTGGAAGTGTATTCCCCTTCTTCTGCTGCTGCTGCTGCTGCTGCCGCTGCTGCGGCTGCGGCTGCGGCTGAGGCTGTGGCAGTGGCAGTGGCGGCGACGGTGATGCACTGGCCACACGTGCATTCCCCTTCTGCTGCTGCTGCTGCTGCTGCTGCCCCTGTTGCTGCTGCTGACCCGGCTGGTGCTGATGCTGCTGCTGTGGCAACAACAGTGGCGGTGGAAGAGTGTTCCCCTTGTGCTGTACCGCATTCCCTGATAGCACCGCCCCTGGCAGCCCCATCCCCGATCCCGGCCCTCCTGGCCTTGGGATACCACCTGCTTGAACCACCCCTGCCGGCACCGCCCCTGCTTGAACCGCCCCTGCTGGCACCGCCCCTGCTTGAACCGCCCCTGCTGGCACCGCCCCTGCTTGAATCGCCCCTGCTGGCACTGCCCCTGCTTGAACCGCCCCTGCTTGAGCCGCCCCTGCTTGAACCGCCCCTGCTTGAGCCGCCCCTGCTTGAACCGCCCCTGCTGGCACCGCCCCTGCTTGCACCGCCGTTGCCTGCATAGCCCCTGCATGCCCCGCCTTTGCCTGTCCAAATCCTGGTGCTCCTGCTCCTGCCGGCCCCATACCCGCCTGCCCTACCCCTGCCTGCACTGTCCCTGTCTGAAGCACCCCTGCAGGGGAAAGGCCAGGTATTCTCAGGTGGGTGGACGGCCCTCCTGCAGCACCGCTCTGAACCGAAGCACCTGCCACTGATGGAACATGCCCCACCTGCCCCTGATTCCGCCCCTGCCCCTGTGCCTGCCCCTGCCTTTGATTCTGCACCTGAGTCTGCACCTGATTCTGCCCCTGCGCAAGTGCCTGACCCGGAGCCTTGCCTGGTGCTGCTGTTGCTGTTGCTGCTCCTGGTACAGCAGGAGAAACCGCCCCCCCCACATGGTTCCCTATTGCCTCCTCTCGCCTTACCATTCCCTCCGGAGCTTTCCCAGCTGCTGAGGGCCCTCCGGAGGGTGCGTTTCCGGCTGCTCCTTGCGGCTTCATCTGCCCCTGAACCTGCCCGTGCTGAGCCGTCATTGGCTGGTTTGCGGAACCTAGCTTCACTGCCTGTCCTTGCAGCACTGCTGCTGCTCCTGTTGCACCCACAGCACCGCCTGTCACCGCACCAGCTGTAACAACACCTGTAGCAGCACTAGTGATAGCACCAACCGTAGCAACAGCGGCTGTAGCAGGTGTACTTGCCATAGCCGAAGGTGTTGCCAAACCTGACGCAGCACCCGTACCTGCCACCTGCCCACTGACCCCTCTGCTGACACAAGTTTTCTCTCCCCCTTCCGAGCCTGGAACAGGTCTGGCACCAGGTACAGGAGCCCTGGGAACTGGCCCGGGCGCAGGTCCGGCAGCAGGTCCGGCAGGAGGTATGGCAGGAGAGGAAGGCAAAGGCAACGACATGGGAGAGACAGCAGGAATCGGACCAGCTGGTCTTGTGACAGCTGTAGCAGCAGTAGCAGTAGTAGCTGCTGTAGCAGCAGCAGCAGCTGTAGCAGCAGCAGAAGCTCCTGCTAAATCTGACTGCTGGGCTGATGCTGGTGCTGCGTGCCTCACTCCAACTGCAACTCCTGTGGGACCGGCAGCAGCTGTGCCACTTGCAGCAGCAGCAGCAGCAGCAGCAGCGCCTGCTTGTAGGCCAGCCAGGGCTGGTACTTGGACTTGCTGCTGTTGGTGCTGCTTCTGGTGCTGCGGCAGCTGCTTCGATTGCTGCGGCTGATGTTGCTGTTGCTGGTGGGGTTGCTGATGCTGCTGTTTCTGCAGCAGCTGCTGTTGCTGCTGCTGTTGTTGCTGCTGTTGCTGTTGGTGTTGGTGCTGCTGTTGTTGTGGGTGCTGCTGCTGCTGATGCCGCTGCTGTTGCTGCTGCTGCTGCTGCTGTTGCTGCTGCTGCTGCTGCTGCTGCAGCTGCTGCTGCTGCTGCTGGGAATGCTGCAGATTCTGATGTTTCCCTCCTGCTGTAAGATTACCGCTAGCAGCAGCAGAAGCACCAGCAGCAGCTGCGCCACCACCAGTAACCACCTTATCCTTCCCTGCCCCTGCCCCTGCACCTCCCCCTGCCCCTGCCCCACCTGCACCCATTCCCAAACCGTGTGGCAGGCTCGGAGAAGCTCCAGGCACCGGACCTGCTGCACCGGGTGCGGATGCGGCTGCCGATGCTGCAGCCGTTGAAGCTGCAGCAGCAGCAGCCGCTGCGGGCACAGCAGCAGAGTCTGCTGGGGGGACTGAGAGAGGAACAGGAAGAGAGGACGGCAGGGGTGATTGGCCCATACTTGTGCCTGCTGCCCCGCCTGCCGCCCCCGCTGCTGCTGCAGCTGCCGCAGCCGCTGCACCTGCCGCTGCTGCTGCACTTGCTGCTCCGCCTGCTGCCCCACCTGCTGCACCTGCTTGCAAGCCAAAGGGAGGCGCACCAGGAATATGCCCCGGCATGGTCATCCCATACGGAGGCTGCTGCTTCGAGGCTGCTACCGCAGCTGCTGCCGCCGCGGCTGCCGCAGCTGCATAGTTACTGAAATGCGGGGGGAAGAACGGGTGGTGGTGATGCTGCTGCTGCTGCTGTTGCTGCTGCTGCTGTTGTTGCTGTTGCTGCTGTTGCTGCTGTTGCTGCTGTTGCTGCCGTGCCACATGCCGGTTAAATTCTATGAAGTGGGCGATGTAAACGTGCAGGGCACAACGTTTCCACGGCCGCCGCACGTGCAGCTGCTGCTGCTGCGTGGGCAAAGGGAGCAGGCCTGGAGGCGGCTGAGGAAGAGTGTGCTGGGATGGCTGGTGGGTAAGGGGGTGGGAAGCGGGGCCGGGGACGGGATGTGGGGAGAGGGGGGTTGTAGGGGTGGGGGGGTGAGGGAAGAGAGTGGGGGGGAGGGGGAGTGTGAGCGGGGACAGCAAGCATGATCCAGCAGTGATGTGAAGGCCCAGAGAATCACGCAGCCCGTGAAGTGAGACCCACAACTGGGAAAGGAGAGCAGCCAACCAGCAGTGACTTACGTGGCCAGGAGGGAAGCTCACAGGAGCAGGCGACGAAACCCCATCGTCCCTCGCTGCATGCGCCAGTGATGCCACTCCAGCATGGTGCGGCACGAACAGTGTGACTCTAAACCCTAACCCTAATCCCAGAACCCTGTAGCCCACCGTAACTTACGTGGCCAGGAGGGGCGCCCACAGGAGCAGGCGACGAAACCCCATCGTCCCTCGCTGCATGTGCCAGTGATGTCACTCCTGCATGCTGCAGCACTGATGGCCCCGTGTGGGACAGAGAGGCAGGGAGGGAAGAGGGGAGCGAGGAGGGAAGCGAGGAGGGGAGAGACGAGGCGAGAGAGGAGGGGAGAGAGGAGGGGAGCGAAGAGGGGGCTCCGGCAGAATGGGGCGGCCACCCAGCAGCAGCTGCAGCCGCCGCTGCTGCAGCAGCAGCCTGCGGGAAAAACCCTATTCCAGGAATCGGCCAGCCTCCCAACCCTAACGGCAGAGGCATGGACGCAGCTGCTGCCGCAGCTGCTGCCGCTGCGGCTGCTGCTGCTGCTGCTGCTCCATGAGGGGGTGCCCCGGGTGGTGGCATCCCAGGGGGGTTGTGGGGCATGCCGGGGGGGGTGTGGTGCATGGGGGCAAGATGGGCGGGCGGAGGGGGGAAACCCGCGGGCATTATGGGCACTGGGGGGGCTCCTGCGCGGGAGGGTGCGCCTGGGGGGTGCTGGATGGCTGCTGCTGCCCCTGCTGCTGCCCCTGCTGCTGCTCCTGCTGCTGCTGCTGCCGCTGCTGCTACTGCTCCGCCTGCCGCGGCTGCTGCTGCTGCTGCTGCTGCTTCTGGATTGGACAGAATCGAAGCACCCCCTGCTGCCGCTCCCGCCACTCCTAACCCTGCAGCACCCAAACCCGCACCTCCCAACCCTACCGCTCCTGGAGACATAGGCCCCACCACAGGTGACGAACCAGCAGCTCGTTCCCTCGACCCACCCTTAGCTTCTCCTTTCGCCCCCCTTGCTGCCGCCCCTCTTTGACTGCCAGATCTCTGCAGCAGCACTCCGTCCTTCCTCTCCTCCTTCCCGTCTTCCATCCTACTCTGCACCTCCTGCTCTCTCCCTCCTCTCCCCCTCTCCCTCCCCTTCTCTACCCTCCCCTTCTCCTTCTCCTCCTTCTCCCTCCCCTTCCCCCGCCCAGCCTCCTTGCGCCCGTCCCGTTCCCTTGCCTCCTTCTCCTTCTCCCTTCCTCTCTCTGCCTCGGCATTCAGCAGCATCAGATCGAACCCCTTTCTGGATCCTACGGCCTCCTCGCCTTTATTTAAGGAGGGAGTTTTCATAAGCCTAGCTTCCATATTAACCTCCCCCTCCGCCCTCCCTCCCACCCCTTCCTTGGGCGTTTCGCCCTTCAACCCTACTCCTAATCCACCCTCTCGCCCTCCTGCTAATCCTCCCGCCATCTGTTTATGTGTGACGCCTGCTGCTGGTGGTGGCTGCAGGGATACGACCGGGAGGAGAGTGAAAACAAGGGGGGTGTAGAGACGGATGAGACAGGGAAGAGGATGAAATGGGGAAGAGGATGAAATGGGGAAGAGGATGAAATGGGGAAGAGGATGAAATGGGGAAGAGGATGAAATGGGGAAGAGGATGAAATAGGGAAGAGGATGAAATGGGGAAGAGGATGAAATGGGGAAGAGGATGAAATGGGGAAGAGGATGAAATGGGGAAGAGGATGAAATGGGGAAGAGGATGAAATGGGAAAGAGGATGAAATGGGGAAGAGGATGAAATGGCAAGGATGGCAAGGAAGAAGGATGAGAAAGATGAGATGGAAAGGATGAGAATGGGTGCGCCATACAACGCTGTAAATCACACACACTCACCAGACCATACTACACCACGCACACACCGCACCACACCACAACACAACACACCACACACACTCACCATGCCACGCTGCACATGCGCCTTGCTCTCCCCTTCCGCTGTCTCCTCCTCGTCCACCGCTCCCAACCGCTCTGAACTCGGAACCAGCAGTGAGAGGCCTTTACCAGGAGGAGACTGTTTGGTGGGGGAAGAGGGGGAGGGAAGGAGAGAGCGGCATCGAGGACGGGACAGGAGTGGGGAGGAGAAGGGAGAGACAAGATTAACAAAGCATCAGCTTGGTGAGATGATTTAAGACTTGCAAACGTCTCAGCCAACGACACCACACCAAGCACGTAACACGAGGTCGAGTTAAAGCTTGTTGGAGCGTTGGGAGCGCTGCTGCTGCGGCGGCCACTGGGGCAACTGGTGAGTCGACTGGAGGGTCATCAAGCACGCACGTACCAAGAGGTGTGACACGCCTCGAAAACACCATGAAAGGCACGTACCATGAGATCAAGCTCAAGCTTGTTGGAACGCAGAGACTGCTGCTGTGGCGGCCACTGGTCCTTGCTGTCTGTAGTGGTAGCCATGGCTGAGGGGGGTCCCATGCGCAGCCTGAGGAAAGGGGGGGTGGGGGGGAGGGAGGGGGAGAGGGGGTTGGGGGAGGGGAAGAATGGGGGAGGGGGACGGAAGGGGGGACGGGGATGTAAGGCAGGAGGGAACGAGGTGACACGAGGTGACACGAGGTGACACGAGGTGACACAAGGTGAAAGGAGGGGAATTGCGGCGGCCACTGGTCCTTTCCGTCTTAGTGGGACTAGTAACACAAAAGTGCAAAGGTCAACATAAAAGTGCAATGAGCAACAAAGGAGGGTGAATCCTCACCTCGTCTGCTGGTCCAATGCTCCCTCTCCTCCCCCTCCCCCAGCACCACTCGCCCCATCTCCCGCCCCCTTGCCCCCCTTCTCCGCCCCCTGTCCCCCTGCGCCCAGTGCTGCAGCAGTGAGTGGGGAAGCAAACAGCCTTGGGGGGGGGGGAGCGGAGGCAGGATGGGCAGCGGCGGTGGCATGAGCAGGACCAGAGGCGTGAGCAGCAGATGCAGCATGGGCAGATGCTGCATGGGCAGAGGCAGCATGGGAAGAAGCGAGGGCGTGGGCATTTGGAGCGAGTGAGGGGTTTCCACCAGCGTGCAGAGCATAAGCGGGGATTGAGTTGTGAAAAGCTGGGCCACCCCCTACCCCCGCCGCCGCCGCTGCTGCTGTGGCGGCTCCTGTGGGAAGCATGGGCATTGAGGTGGCTCCTGCAGCAATGGCGTTAGCATGAGCAGGAGGAGGAGGAGCAGGAGATGCAGAAGCACCACCCGGAGCACCAGCAGCACCAGGAGCCAGGGGAGTAGCACGGGCAGCAGAAGAGGCAGCCCTAGCAGCAGCCAACACACTCGACAGGTTCGGGGACGCCGAACCAGGGGTGGTTGCCATGGGCCCAGCCGTCCCTGCCACCGAGCCTGGTGAGCTGGCGATCGGACCCGGCACAGTGGTGCCTCGGAGGAGCGCCGACGGTGACGTGGCAGGGCGGGCTCCGCTGGCGTGCGCGCCACCTCGTGCTGAGCTGGCAGCACCGAGAAGATTTTCTAAAGTTAGTCGACCCGTTTGGCGTTGGTCCTTCCCTGCCCCCACTGCACCTGCCCCAACTACTCCTCCTGCTGCTGCTCCTCCTGCTCCTGCTCCTGTATCTGCACCACGACCAGCAGCAGCACCACCAGCAGCACCAGGGGCACCAGGACCGGCAGCTGCTGCTGCTGCAGCGTTCAAACTAGGAACAGGGAGCAGCATACGATTTTGGCCCACGGAACCAAAACCAGCCCCTTGCGGGGGAAGAACAGCAGCAGGATTGGGCATTGTCAAAGGCGTAACTCCCCCAAGCCCTCCCGCCATTGCCCCTGGGTTTGGTTGCCCTGTCAGAGGGGCGATGGGCCTGGGAGCTAGAGCCCTAGGGGCGATACTGAGAAGACCAGCTGTGCCTGTTCCAGATGCACCTCCCCCGGTTGCACCTGCAGCAGCTGCACCTGAGGGCGCGATTGCGTGCGGAGGGCGCAGGGGGGCAGTGGCAGCAGTGGCTGCAGTGGCTGCAGTGGCAGTAGCAGCGTGGGCGGATATAGGAAGAGCTGACTTTTGAGTCGACTCAAAAGCAGTAGCAGTGTGGGGGGATATGGGAATAGGGGGTGCAACGTGAAGCAAGGGCTGCGATCCCTGTGCTTGTGCTTGCGCGTGCGCTTGCGCTACCTGTGCCTGTGCCTGTGCGTGTGCCTGTGCTTGTGCATGCCCCTGTGGTTGTGCTTGTGTGCGCTGTGGGCCGAGGTGATGATAAGGCATGGATGACTGTTGCTGCTGCTGCTGCTGCTGCTGTTGCTGCTGCGGCTGCTGCTGCTGCTGCAGATGCAACATGTGTTGTTGCTGCTGCTGCTGAAGATACTGCTGCTGATGTTGCTGTTGCTGCTGTTCAAGAGTGGATGAGGGTCGCGGTTGCAGCCGAAGCTGCTTTGTTACACCCTGCTGCTGCTGCTGCTGTTGCTGTTGCTGTTGCTGCTGTTGCTGCTGTTGCTGTTGCTGCTGTTGCTGTTGCTGTTGCTGTTGCTGCTGTTGCTGCTGTTGCTGTTGCTGTTGCTGTTGCTGTTGCTGTTGCTGCTGCTGCTGTTGCTGTTGCTGCTGTTGCATGTGTGGTTGCTGCTGCTGTTGCTGTTGCTGTTGCTGTTGCTGTTGCTGTTGCTGTTGCTGTTGTTGTTGTTGTTGCTGCTGCTGTTGTTGTTGCTGCTGCTGTTGCTGTTGCTGCTGCTGCTGCTGCTGCTGATTATGTTGTTGCATGTGTGGTTGCTGCTGCTGTTGCTGCTGCTGCTGTTGCTGCTGTTGCTGCTGCTGTTGCCATTGTTGCATTTGCTGCTGCTGCTGCAGCTGCTGTGGTGACGGCTGTCCTGTCGGTTGCAGGTGCAACTGAAGTTGCAACTGCGGCTTTTGCTGTTGCTGCTGCTGCTGCTGCTGCTGCTGCTGTTGCTGTTGCTGTTGCTGTTGCTGTTGCTGCTGTTGTTGTTGTTGTTGCTGCTGCTGCTGTTGCTGTTGCTGCTGCTGCTGTTGCTGTTGCTGCTGCTGCTGTTGCTATTGTAGCTGCGGCTGCTGCTGCTGCATTTGCAACATGTGTTGCTGCTGCTGCTGCTGCTGCTGCTGCTGCTGAAGATACTGCTGCTGCGGCTGGTACTGCAACTGCTGTTGCGTTTGCCCTGTGTTACCTGCCCCGCCCTTAGCCCCTCCCTGCTGCGGGGGCATCAGATGCAGCTGCAGTGACGACTGCTGCTGCTGGTACTGTCCCTGCTGCTCCTGCCCCTTCTGCTGTTGCTGGAACTGAGACTGCTGTTCTTGCCCCTTGTGCTGCTGCAGATGTAGCAGGTTCTGCTGTCCTATCACTGGCTGGCCAGCCGTCTGTTGTCCTGTCAGTTGCTGTCCTGTCCTCTGTTGACCTGGCTGTTGCAAGGGCGGCCGCGCTTGCAACAACTGAGGTGCCTGTTGCTGCTGTGTTGGCTGCGGTTGTTGGTGCTGCTGCTGGTGCTGCTGGTGCTGCGGATGACTCTGCTGCTGTTGGTGCAACAGCTGCTGCCGTGGCTGTGACTGATGCTGCTGCGGTTGCTGGGCAGAAGGCATATGTTGAAAGCTAATCCCAGGATGCTGCTGCTGCTGCTGCTGCTGTTGTTGCTGTTGCTGTTGCTGTTGCTGTTGTTGCTGCTGTTGCTGTTGCTGCTGCTGTTGCTGTTGCTGCTTTGGTGATTGCTGCTCCTGCTGCTGATGTTGTTGCTGTTGCTGCAAATGCAGCTGCAGCTGCTGTTGCTGCTGTGGATGCTGCAAAAGCGGCTGTCCCATCAATTGCCCACCCAACACCATCTCTGGAGCCTTCTGTGTTCCCCCCATCATCATCCCCCCACTGGCACCCCCTGTTACCCCGCCCAACATACCCCCACCGCTACCCACCGCCCCTGCTATGCCTAGCTGAGAGGGAGGGGCGGAGGGGGCGTGTAAGGGGCCTGCAGCAGCAGCGAGAGCAGCAGCAGCAGGGGCGCGGAGGGCAGCAGAGGAAGCAGGGCCGTGCTTGGTCTGCCTGGTGCTGCCGTCTGTAGGGAAGGGGTTGGGGAGTGCGGTGGCGGAGACAGGTGAGGGGTATTGTGAGCGAGGGAGGGGCGAAGGGGGCGAGTGTATCAAGCCCCATGCTGCAGCCAGGGCGACAGCAGCAAGGGCGCAGAGGGCAGCAGAGGAGGCAGGGCCGTGCTTGATTGGCGCAAATCAGCATGCTAAAAGAAGAAAATAGAATATCACACACCAATGAAAAAATATCTGACGGACCTGTATGGCCGTGTGCAGCAGCAGCAGCAGCAATCTGGTGTTGACTGACTTTCTCCAATACACTCTGCCTCCCCCCAACCCCCCCTGCCCCCACTCCCCCTGCTGCAATTCCCCCTCCCCCTGCCGACCTCCCCCCACCTCCCACTCCCCCCTCCCCTGCTCCCCCAGCCGCTCCCCCATACTGCCCCCGCCCATCCGCCTCATTCCCCCCACACACAAGCAGCCGAGACACATCAGTCGTCGCCCCTGCGCCCTGTCCCCCCGCGCCCATCCCCATCCCCGCGCCAGCTGCTGCAGAAACGGGGAACCCTAGAGGTGGAGAAGGAAGGACAGCTCGAGGCGAGGCTAGGGGGGTGCCCAGAAGACTCATTGACCCTGAACCTGAATTTACACCTGAAGGGCCACCAGCAGCACCTGCTGCTGCTGCAGCAGCAACAGCAGCGGAAAAGGGTCCCTGTGAGTCTCTACTGGAGGGAGCGTGGGTGGGTGGGAGAGAAAGCACCGGCCCCATAGGACCTGATCCTTCCGGTGGGGTTGAGGGGGCACTACCTGCTTTCCCACCCGCTCCTCCTCCCGCTCCTCCCGCTGCCCCCACTCCTCCTGCTGCAGCTGGTACGGTTTGTGCTGCAGCCATTGCAGCTGCTTTAGCAGAGTTTTCACCTCCTGCTTGACCCGCTGCCGCTGCTGCTGCTGCTGCCCCTCGCCGCTTCTTGAGGGGTGCTGTGACACATGGGAGGCGGTAAGGGAGGAAGAAGGGGGGTGTATGATATGTATTGCATGCAACATAGTGCAACCTCAATGCCCAGGAGTACACAACACAAGCAATCACAAGCGAGGATTGGAAGTTACAAGAACAAGTACTTACCATCAGACCCTGTTGCTCCTGCCTTCGCCCCTCGTTCCCTTGACTCATCCTTCCTGGAACCCCCCTCTTGACATTTCAAGACGACTGTCCTAGATTGACGCCTAAAAGAAACAAAAACAGAAAGACACAACAACTCACCATCAGACCCTGCTGCTCCTGCCTTCGCCCCTCGCTTCCTTGACTCGTCCTTCCTGGAACCACCTTGCTTCCGCCCTCCTTCTCCACCTGCCGCACCCACCCCGTCCTCTCTCTTTCCCCCGCCTTCCCCTCTCTTTCTAACCACACCCGTTTGCTGTACACCCACACCCTCCCCTACAGCCACCCCATTGGCAGCAGCAGCATTACCAGCCGCCGCCGCCGCAGCAGCCACAGCCGTCGCAGTGGCAGCAGCAGCTGCGCCATCAGCGCCATCAGCAGCAGCAGCGGCGGCGGCGGCGGCATCAGCCCCTTCCTCTTCAGCCTCGTTTGATCCGAACGCGAGAAGGTTAGCAAAGTCAAAAAGCGCCTCTGCTACCTCTGCCTCCTGCGCTGACATTGATACAGGCGCAGTAGGCCTTCCACCAGCCCCAGGCGCCCCTGCTGCTGCTCCTCCTGCTGCCCCTGCTGCCCCAGATGCTGTGCCTGGACCGGCTTTTGGGCGGCCTGCTGGCGGGTGGGGACCTGGCGTGGGGCCAGATGCTGCAGCAGCGGCTGCTGCTGCTGTGGCTGCTGCTGCGGCTGCTGCTTTGGCCTGGAGACGAGAGAAGGGGGGAACGGTTACAGGGGACTTGACTTGAATAATGGCAGACTTGGCAGTAATGCAGAAGAGAGATGGGAGCATGGGGCCAAAAAGATGATAAGGAGAAACGAGCAGGAGAATGCTGACACAGCAAGACCAGAAAGCGACCACATAATGCTCACAGACCAGACAGAGGGTGGAGGTAAGAGGAGAAAGACGGTCCAAGGGGAAAAAAGAAAACCCTAGCTCACCTTTGCCGTACGTCCCTTGACTTTTTCTCCTGCCCCAGCCTGCCCAGCCACACCTCCTCTTCCCCCATCTCCCCTTCCGCCCCTCGCCCCCCTCCCTCCTCGCCCGCTGCCCTCCCCTCCCTCCCCCTTGCTCCCCCTGCCCCCGCCTCTGGGCCCAGTTCCCCCTGCGCCTCGCCCCCCCCCTCTGATCCTCCCGCCTGTAGCTGCAACTGGCGCCGCAGCAGCTACTGCTGCAGAGGAAACTCCCGCCCCACCGGCCGCAGCAGCAGCTGCTGCAGCAGAAGCAGACGCAGCCGCAGCACCAGCAGCAGCAGCACCAGCAGCACCAGCAGCACCGGCAGCAATATTAACAAAAGCGCCCACGCCACCAACTGCTATCCCTGCACCAGTTGCAGTACCTTCCTCTATTCCACCCCCACCTCCTCCCCTACCTCCCTCTCCTTCCCCCCTTCCCCCCTCTCCTTCTCCCCCTGCTGAAATAACCACACCCGCCACACCACCACCCTCTCCTCCCCCACCTCCCCCTCCTCCTCCTCCGCCCCCTCCACCTCCTCGTCCCCCGCCTCGTCCCCCTCGACCCAGCCCTCTCACTCCCCTCCCTCTCCCTGCAAACGCTCCGTCCCCTTCCCCATGCCCACCGCCCGCTTTCCCACCTGCTATTCCCTCCCCAGCCTCAGCTGCACCCCCACCACCAGAGGCAGCGAGCTCCTGACCTAAGCGCCATCCTACATGTGTTGCCCCGCCCCCAGAGGAACCACCACCTGGGAAGGCTCTATCAGCACCACCAGCTGCCGCTGCTGCAGAGGTGGCCGCGTCTGTGCTGGGGGATATGAAGCCTGCGGCATCTCCTGCTGCTGGCGCTGCTGCTGCTGCTGCTGCTGCGGCTGCTGTTAGCGAAGCCAAATTCTGTCTCTGCTGCCGCTGACGCGTTTGGACGAGCAGGAGAAGCAGCAGGATGAGGAGCAGGAGCAGCAGCAGCAGCAGCAGGAGGTGGAGTGCGAGGGAGACTAAAGGGTCTGCTGTGAGAGGCTTCCATGTTCCCTCCCAGCCTGCTGTGCAAAGAATCTGTGGCTTCAGCTCTTGCTCGTGCTTGTGCTGCTGCTGCCGCTGCTGCTGCTGCTCTCTGGTATATGAGAAAAGGCATGAGGAGGAACAAAATAGCAATGATGAATTTGGTTTGTAGCACAGGAAGCGGCAATGGATGAGGCAAGGTGAAAGGAGGGGAGATGAGTGGAAATGCGAGAAGTTGAGATGAGATGGATGAATCACACTTGGAGAGCGAGAATGCTGGACAATGCACACAAAGAAGGATACAAAAAGCGCACGGCAACACGAGAGTGGGTGGAAAAGAAGGCAGTGCAAAATAGAAAGCAAAAGAGACGCAGAAAAGGGCCACGAACCTCATTCTTCCTTGGCTTAGATCGTGCTGCTCGCACCTCCCCCTCTCCAACCCCCACTCCCACAGAACCACCAGCACCAGTCAGACGCGCCCCAGAAGCACCTGCCGCCACAGAAACCCCTGCAGGCATCCCCAGCCCTTCTGCTGCCTGCCCGCCAGGCTGCCTCATGTCTCCCCCCTGACCGCCCCCCTCACTGCCTCCGAACCGGGCGCCTCCTAAACTCCCTCCCTCGTTGCCCCCAGCCCAGGATCCTGCGAGGCTTCCTGCCTCGTTGCCCCCCATACGGTCTGCAGAAGGGGGAAGGCCTGTGAGGGACGCCCCGTGTCCGTGTCCCCCTGTGTGCAGGGGTTGACCGCCCTGAGCGGGCGAATGGGGGGGCATGGGGTCAGGCAGGGAATGGGGAGGAACAGGCCCCAAGTTCCCATGCCCGTGCCCATGCCCGTGTCCATGTCCATGCCCGTGCCCGTGCCCGTGCCCATGCGCAAGCCCATGCCCATGCCCATGCCCATGCCCGTGCCCATGCTTATGAAGTGATGCTGAAATTCCCTGTTGTTGCTGCTGCTGCTGCTGCTGCTGCTGTGCCTGCCCCTGTTGCGGTTGCTGCAGAAACGAGGGAGAGAACGGCGGTATTCTAAGCCCCGTTCCCGCTCCCTGGTTCGGGCTTGACTGCGCCATACCCTTCCCTAACTCCTGAACCGGGAAACCTTGGCTCGGCAGCTCCAGCTGCTCCGAGCCAGGTCCGCCGGCAGGTCCGGCAGCCCGAGCCTGGCTTGCTGGCGAGTCGTGCTTGTGCCTGCTGCCCCTCTTGCCCGTTTCATGTGGCCGCAGAGGCAGCAGCTGCGGCTCATGCCCTTCCTTCTCCCCCTTCGCCTCCTTCTCCCCCCGCTGATTATGTTCCTTATGATCCTTATGCTCCCTGTGCTCCCTCCCAGCCCTTGGCACCCCATCCCGCCCATCCTTGACCCCTCTTCTCTTCCCCACAGGGTGCCGATGCTCCCTCTGTTCCCTCTGCTCCTTCTGATCCCTTTTTACACCCCCCGGACCCCCAATCGCACCTCCCGCTCCCTCCTGCTCCGCCTCACTATCCCCTCTCTCCCTCCCAGCGTCAACCCCTCCGTGGGACCCATGCTCTCTCTGCTCTCTCCCACCTCCCCTCCTTCTCCCATCCTCCGATCCCTCCACCTGTTCCACATTGTTTCCACCCCCTGGGCTCAATCCCCCAGGCCAGGATCGCAAACCCGTGCTTTGCATCGCAGATTCTACCAGAAACGCACCCGCTGCCTTCCCTGCAGCAGCAGACCCGCCAATACCAGCGCCAGCTGCACCCGCTGCTGCCGCAGCAGCAACGGCAGCAGCAGCAGCAGCAACAAATGACGTTTTCCTCTTGCGAGAGTGAGAGCCCTCCCCAGATACAACCTTCCTCTCCCTGTCCAGCACCGTAGCCGCCTCCGCTTTGAACCCCCTCTCCCCGCTCGCCTCCCTTTCTCCTCCGTCCCCACCGCCAGCTCCCCAATCATCCCCATCATGCCTTTCCTCTTGCCCCATTCCCCCTTCCTCCGCCCTTCTCTCCCCCCCTGCACCACCAGCAGGCGAGGAGAAAACCGACGGGGAGTGCGACCCCAGCGGCGGCGTCAGCGCATTTCCCTCATGCCAACGCTCGCTCTCCCCCCGTTTGTCTCTCCCACGCTCCTCCTTCCTCTCCCTCTCTCTGTCCCTCTCCCACGAGCCCGGGGACGGTGAGGCGTCTTCATGCGAAGCACCGTCCCAACGAGGCGTGACGTCCAGGTGATGGGGCTCGGACGACCGTTTCACCTTGGCTGTAGCGTACAAACAGGGACGCAGGGGAAGGGAGCAGGGAAGACGAGCTTTTGAGGAACAACACACGTGGAACACCAAGGTGTCGTGTCTTCATGCGACGAACCTCATGCGACAAAGTGCCGGGAGCCTCAAGCAATGCATCTCCACGTGAGGCACGGATCGCGGAGCACAGAAGGCCTGCTGAAAGGGCCGAACGAACGCTTCACCTTCTGTAGATTCAGTGCAGCGTCGAGAAGGTGGGGAGGAGGAGCGCGGGTAGGGGGGGGAGGGAGGAGTGGGAGGACGAAGGAGGAGGAGGAGGAGGAGGAGGAGGAGGAGGAGGAGGAGGAGGAGGAGGAGGAGGAGGAGGAGGAGGAGGAGGAGGAGGAGGAGGAGGAGGGGAAGGAGGAGGAGGAGTTAAGCGGAGATGGAGACGGGAGCGGGAAGGAGACGGTAGAATAGTCGTCCTGAGCAGGACACCATGGCGCACTTTTGAGGCGCCTCAAGAGTAGGACACCATGGCGCAAAACGTGCGACGATGATCAGAGGACGAGGCTGAGACTGAGAGGCTGAGACTGAGAGGCTGAGACTGAATGGCTGAGGCTGCACGGCCCACTCATCTATCTGTGAGGCGCTGTGGCATGCTGTAGCTACAATAGGTGCCAGGCCTATGCGATCAGGCACGTGAAGCCCTTTGTAGTGCAAAGGAACATAGTACGACGCGACATGACATGACAACGAGGTGCGCGATCACGAACACACCATTAAGGCGTACAAGTGTCAGTGAACAGCAATGCACTGGAGTAAGGGAGAGAAGAACAGAGACTCCACACGTCACGCAGGCGAAGCATTCAACTCAACTCATTGGTTCCTCTCAATTTGCACTCCTTACCAGTGCGTGTGCGGCGAGGCACTGCTGTGAGAGTGACGGGACCGTTTTCATCCATCGACTGCATCAACCACAAAGGGGGGGGGCAAAGGGAGGGGGGGGGGGGGAGCGCGGGGAGAACGAGGGCGGAAACGGAGCGGTAAGACGGAGACATAGGGAGATGAGGAGCGGTACAATGGTTCAAGCGCTAGTAGGTGCGAAGCTCAAGGAAAAAACCGGCGAGTAGGAACGGTCAAGCGGCGATGAAAGACATGAAAAGAAGCAGCCTGCTTTTTTCGTTACCTCCTACCAGGTTACCCCTCCCCACACGAACCTCGAGCTTCGACCCTGGAAGGCGGAACTTCGGCGGACGCCTCGAGCCCGCGGGGGAATCCTCGCGCGGATCCCCGGGCGCGGGGGAATCACCATGCGCGCTAATCCCCGCGGCCTCCCCGGCCCCCGCGCCTGCGCCTGGTGGCGGAGTGGCCTCTTCCTCCTCGTCCGCTTGAGGGGAGAAGGGGGAAACGGCCTCGGAAGCACTCCGCTTGCGCTTCGTCTTTGAGCCGTTGGATCCTCCAGAGCCTACCCTCGGTTTGTCTCGCTTCCGGCTATTAGCCCCCGTAGAGTTGTACGCGCTAGTACCAGCTCCAACATTATTCCCGCCGCCAATGTCGACGGAGTGTCGACTGGATCCCTCGATACCACCACCTCCGCTTGTGTCACCTCTTGCGATTCCTCCTCCCCGTGAGCCGTGGCTCTCAAGTCCAGACCCATCGGGTGTGGAATGCCCGGCATCTGTCCGTGGGTAAGGTCAAAAAAGGATAAGGGAAACGGCGAAGAAATTAAAGGCCCTGAAATCGCAGAAGAATGTCGGATAATTTAAGACGTTTTAGAAGTTCATCTGCGTGGTCGATATACATGAATTGAAACATTTCCCATCGTGACAAGGCCCTTCGGCAGAAGTCCTTTGGTATCGACCGGAGCAAGCTAGCTGAAGTTAGAATTTACTTTCTTACGGCGCGCATAATCCAAAGCGGAAGAACAAAAGAATGCACTTCGTAAGGCGGGCGGCGGCAAATAGCGATTTAAAGCAAGGCGGCTACAAAGCATCTGCAACTTCAAAGCGCTCTTAGGAGACGCTAAAACTATTGATTGGATATAGAGGGTAAACGACAGCGCAGTCTGCTGCGGAATAATAGCGCCGTGAAGAATACGACTAACAGCGACCATAAACTGTTCTGTAACTAAACCTCCGTTCTTTCGAAGCAGTACCGTAGCTATTTCGTATGCTGATAACCCGGACGGAAAGAAGAAAGTGCGGCCTTTCGTAACAACGACGGAGCACGACAAGCTGAGCGGGTAAACCGAGCAAAACTGCAAGCTACATCTACCTATTGACTGCATTCTCTTGAATCAACGACCAAAGAAACTTTAGCGGTTCAGGAATTCAACAGCTTCAGCCACTAACGCTCAGCTAAGAAGAACCTCAGCAGGGATTGAATCTGACAAGCTTAGAAGAAGAAAAAAAAGTAACAAAATTCATAGCGAAGGAGCGGGAAAGTCGTTCGTCCATAGTCACTTATAATCGCCAAATCCCGCAACGAAAGAGGCCGACAATGTTCACTAATGCTTGTATAATTTACGCCGACTAATCTTCTTAAATCTCCCCATGGAACGTCAGATCCACACCGTAACTTCGCCTAATCTAACAAGCTAGAAGACGGCTCGGGATCTAATCGAGTAAATAATAACTACGCATTACCGACTGATATCTGAATTACCTTGAGTCTCTTTGGGTCCAATGGAGCTCCGCGACCGACGTTGCGTGGGAGTGGTCACGGGACCCTTATCACCTTTCCTCGTTTCTCTCATCCTGTCCATACTCTCAGATAACGATCGGGATTTCTGACTTCAACAATAAACCACGCGACTGGAAAATCTGGCCTATCAATGAAAGCCTTCACGCCTAACGGCGTATCTAGAAAGCGTGAAACGAATTTCTAGCCGCAACGACGACGGCTAGCTTTCATTAGATTCCTATCAGCGTCAGAGTCTAGGCCAAACTCGGCCTCAGTCACGGGACTGGCATTGCGACCGACAACCATCGCAGCAACCAGCGAACTCGCAAATAACCAAAAGGAGAACAACTCTCCTGGGAAAACCTGCCACCTCCCTGCTGGTTCTTCCGCAACCCCAGACATACGCATCTAGAACCTAGAGCAAGTGAGGATCATGGGCCTTGGTGAAGGGAGGAGAGGAAAGGAGAGGAACGGAGAGAAGCGGAGAGGAGAGAAAACCTCTGCAAAGCAGTTGGTGCTTGCTTCTCCCGCCAATCGGGGCGAGGTTATCAAAACAAACCCCTGATTGGACCGAGGCATATCCAGCTTCCAGCCAGGCTCGGGCACGGGTTTGGCGGGGAAAGCAAACCCGAAGAGATGCGAACAGGTTTGGTCGGACAGGGTATTGGTTGGGTTCGAGGTTCGGGTCTCCGAACCGTTATTCTCCAGTCTGCTGACCTGGAGATAGGTGCTAGATGTCTCCCTCTTCCCTGTGTGCTTGGTTGAATCGATGTTGCTGCCTTCGATTTGCTGAAGCTGCTGATAATATTCCGTGCCTTGTTCGCAGCTGTGGCCGAGCCACAACCAAGGTCCATGCTTTGTGGGGTTTGCTGGAGATGGCTTGGAGGCGGCAAGTCCATACCGCCACGTGGTTGAGGCGTGACTGGTTGCTGGTTCAAAAGGGTGATCCAGAGTTCTGAGCTCCTGTGTGAGGTGGGCGCATGACATGGCGACGGAATACAAGCAGCTCCTGATTGGCTGAGCTTATCGGCTTTGGGGAATCTGTGCTGCTCTGGCTCCCAGGAACCGCGCTTGGGACTGTCTAGTGAGTGGAAGGCCACAGCAAAGCTGGCCAACGAACTTGATCAGGCGGGCAACTCTGGTCCGAACCGAACCAGAACTCAAAATCGAAGCTCACCCCTAGTGAAAGAAAACCCTTCCATCAACCAATTCAGAAGTCGGATCCCAAAAGTTGACAGCGAAAAGTGGTGGCTTGTCTCAATGGGGCTTGGCAGAGTTGAAGAGGCTTCACTCCGATTTCAACCTACCAGAGCTCCGACCGAGCCACGGATTAGCGCAGCCAGACCGAAACAAGCCACGTCATCAGCGTCTCGAAACGGAGACAACTAGGCAGTTGGTGGGACATGATTGGTTGCCATCCTTGATTATGTCGGTCGCTTTGGAGGCTGATGTGTCGAAGGAAAGCCCACATGTTCTCTGGACTGCTGATTCGTTCCATGACGGCTCAATGGTTGGCCGAAAAATCCTTTCTTCCTGCCCTTCAATGGGGGAAGCTACTAGTTACCAAAATATTATACATTGCCACGTCAGGGATCGGCAAGCACGATGTGGACTGCCCTAAACCTTTGGAAACAGTACCCACTGCAAGTGTCCTCATTCATTGTCGAGTACGACGCAGACTCGCCTGATACATAAGTCTTGGAAAGCCATGTATACATTTCAAACTAGGATACTCATATCTTCAGCTTCAGGTGAAACAAATAACATTAAAGATGGACTTTTGGAACCCAGCTAGTATGGGCACCATGTTTGCTACGATCAGAGCATAATCGTTTACCAGGATCTACTCGGGAAGGTTCGCACACAGGGAAATGTAGTTGGTGGGCCCGTGACCTCAATAGCAGAGTGAATGTAAAATGCTTGAGATGATTAAAACATGCAAATACAGCAAGTATAAATATGAGTACAGGGAAGACGAAACGTCCTAGCTAGCCATGTACTCTAAGGGGTACATTCCCTTATTCAAATACATTCAACCGTGCGGCGCGTACAGTTTCGTAACTGTTCCCGCCAAGAACATCCTGCCTGCAGCTGTCCGATGCCGTCTGCCTCCGACGGTCCAGATGCGTCCCAACTGTCTGACACTTCGAGTCAAACTCCAACTGTCTGACGGTTCGCTTTCTTGCTTCGATACTGCGTGCTTCTCTTTGCTGCGGTGAGGAGTGCTCAGTAACAATTACATGTTACTATTCGTAACACCCCCCTTCACTCCTGGCCGTAGCTCGATTTGACCTGCTTGACCACGCCGCTGAGTTCGGAGCAGTGCTGATACTGCTGGCGTGGCAGTCGCTTCGTGAGGAAGTCTGCTGCCATGTCACCGGTCGGGCAATAGGTCAAGTTGACCTTGCCCTTGTCCACTTCGTCCTTCACGAAGAAATATCGCAGCGCAATGTGCTTGGTGCGATTGACGAAACCAGGTTTGTTCGCGATGCGAATCGCGCTCTGGTTGTCGCAGTGAAGTCGAAAAGTTGGCGAAGCTGGAATTTTCGCCTCCTGCAGGAGTTCCTGTAGGTAGAGGCCCTCGCGAACTGCTGCGGTTGCTGCGATGAATTCTGCTTCGGCTGACGACAGGGCAACCAGCTCCTGCTTCTGTGAGTTCCAGGAGATTGGCCCCGTTGGTTCGAGTCGGAACAGGAAGCCGGTCCTGGACCGTCGATTGTCGGGATCTGCTGCATGATCGGCATCCACATAGCCGACGAGATTGAAGGATGGGGTTGGAGCAATTGAGTAGCACAGCCCAATCTTGGGCGTTGAGACGAAAAATTGCAAAGCGCGCTGCAGGTCCAGGTGATTTTCAGCCGTTGGTTTCCGTGAGTGCTGGGCAAGCTGACTTGCGATGTAGGAGAGGTCTGGCCTGCAGGTGACAGAGGCGAAGAGGAGGCATCCCAGCTGTTGCTGGTAAGTCTGGATTCCAGCAGGGGATAGGGCTTTGTTGTCAGGTTTGTGATTCGGTCCGGGGGTTCGGTAGGGAGTCGAGAGAGGTGCGGGTGAAATCTTGAACCGCTTCCCTAACTCCTCTGCATACTTAGCCGCTGAGAGGTGAATGGCTTCAGGCGCGTAGGAGATGTTGAGGCCTAGGAACTGCTTCACCTCGTGGTTGCACGTGATGTCGACGCGCCCCGCCAAAGCCTTCTCGAACTGTTCGAGCAGCTCGTTGTTTGAGCCCGTGTAGAGCAAGTCGTCGACGTAGACCGTGAGGAGGATGTATTCCCCGCGGAAATCGCGGCGGTACATCCCTAGGTCGTGGGGCATCTGCTTGAACCCAATTTCAAGCAGGATGTTGTGCAAGTACTGCTGCCACAGCCTTGGAGCCTGCTTGATGCCGTACAGTGACTTGCGCAGCTGGCATACCCGCGAGTCACCTTCTCCATAGGTGTGTGGTTGCTCCACGTAAATCACAGCGTCCACTAACGCGTATAGGAACGCGTTTTTGACATCGATCTGGCGGAGTGGCAGGTGCCTTGCAGCTGCGATAGCGAGCAAGATGCGGACGGAGGTGTGGCGACTGACGGGGGCGAATGTCTGGTCGAAATCGATCCCATGCCTCTGGTCATAGCCGCGAACCACCCAGCGTGCTTTAAAGCGCTCAATCGTTCCGTCAGCTGCGGTCTTCACGCGGAAGACCCATTTCCCCGAGAGGATTCTTGCACCTTTGATTGCTGCGCGGTCGACGAGCACCCAGGTGTCGCGTGACTCCAGTGCCTTGATTTCCGCGTCCATTGCCTCACGCCATTCCTTGCTGTGTGGTCCAGAGAGGGCTTCGCGCGGGTTTCGGGGCTCGATGACGCGCGGCGCTTTCGAGGTTGCTGTGTGAAGTCCGAGCAGTTGTAGTCCTGAGACGGTACTGTCGTGGCGACGCTGCGGGATGACTTCCTGCACGTCATCGTCGTCGCTCTCAGGTTCAGGTGGTGCTGATGGTGTTGTGCCTCCGCCGCTTCCGCCCGTTCCGCCCATTCCTCCTCCTGAGGAATCATCGTCGTCGTCGTCGCTGCTGTGCCGATCCTCCCAAGTGAATTCGGCCCTGGTGTCCTGCTCTAGAAGTGCTGCAGCGGCTTCGTCTTCGGGCGTTGCGTAACTGTGGCTGTTGTTCGCGTAAACGCGATCTGCATTCCTCTGCTCGTCGTCGCGGAACTGGTCGAGGAAGAGACGCTCGTAGAAAATTACGTCGCGAGCGTGGGCGGTTTTCTGACTGAGGAGGTCCAGTACGATCCATGCTTTGTACTCGTGACTGATGCCGAGGTGAATTCCCCAGCGCGCGCGACTGGCGAATTTGCCGATGGTTGATGTTGGCGGGCGGTACTGCACCATGCACCCCCACACGCGGAGCATGGAGGTATCCCCCTTGGTCCCGGTCCATTTGACGTGCGGGGAGAGATTCCCGGTGATCGCGGTGGTTGAAAGCAGGTTGTGCACCCGCACGGCGTGGTGCATTGCGTAGGTCCAGTAGATCGGCGGCAGCTTCGACTGCTTCATCAGCGCCCGCACCTTCGTCATCAGTGTGCGATTCGTTCGCTCCGCTACGCCTTGCTGCTGATGTGCGTAGGGGAGAGAGATGTGATGCTCGATCCCCTTTTGCGCCAGGTAAGTCTGCATCTGGTTGCTCCTGAACTCTGCCGCGCCGTCAGATTGCCAGATTTTGAGCTTCTTTCCAGATTGCCGCTCCGCATGCGCTAGCCAGAGCCGAAACACCTCGTAGGCTCTGTCGCGCGTCTCCACGTTCACGACCCACACGTAGCGTGTTCCAGCGTCAATGAAGGTGAGAGTGTATAGCTCGTCCTCGACTCCGCAATGCCCTACGTTCAGGAAATCGCTGTACACCTTGTGCAGTTTGGGGTAGCGGTTCGTCCCAGGTTCGAGCAGCGGGAACGGTTGGTGGCTCAGCGCAGCTTCGGGGCAGACTGTGCAGTTGCGCGGATGCGTTGCGCCTCTCACTTCGGAGCCATCAGGGCGCAGGAGTGCGCCAGGAGCGAAGACGCCTGCGTCGATACAATTTTTCAGCGTTGCGCGAGAAGGATGTCCGAG